TATACTGTTAAGTAGCCTGGTAGGCAAATATCTGTATAGATAAATAAAAATTCCTAATCACTCCAATTATAAAATTCAGATTATACTCCTAAAAACAATAAGGTCAAAACTCAATACCACATTTGAGGAAACAGCAAATGACCAAGGCAACTGTTTAAAGAAAAACTAGCTTTCATGAATATTACTACTGAAAATATATCACTGTACACCCATAAATTTACTTTATAATTTTAACACTAAAAGTGTTGCAACGTAAGAAATCTAAATCTTCTCTAAAAACTCTCTCCAGCTTCTCAGTATTCTACTACTAACCTCTTCATTAGGTCATACTATTTCTTCACATTTCACCACAGCTAGGCACTTTTTTGTGTTGTTTGTTTCGTCTGGGAAGTTTAGGGCAGGGAATGGATAAATACACACAGCAGAGCAAAATGGTATATTAAAAAATACTTGGAAGTAAGCAAGTGGAGGCACCCATTTATTTTACAGGCAATAATATCTTCAAGAAAACAATATTCTATAGGGAAGAGTATCCTACAATATGAGTATTTCTGTTATTCAATAATAATAAATTTTCACATAACCAAAGCTGGGCTAAAAAACAAAAGTGATGGCATTTTTAGACAACCCTTCTAACTATGCTCAGTCAAGATGTTAAAAATGTTACAGGGCCCACTCTGAAGTTCTGAAAATCAAATGAGGAAGCTAAAAGTCTAGAATAACTCCATAAGAAAGCAATGAAAATGACCTAAGACTCATGAAAAAAAAAATAATAATGTTCCAAGAACGTAAATTATTTTATTTAATAAAGACTATAGAATTGTTAGGACTTTAGTTCAAGTATAATAAGAGATACATAGTTGGACCTAAGAAAATGTTTATTCCACCTAAGGAAGGAACAAAATTAAACTGCAACATTTAAAATTTGAATTAGGCATAAGATCATTTGCAGACTATGAGCACTGGAACATGTTTTTTTAAAAGTGTCAAGCACAGGGATTACCTTTACAGAATCTTTAAGAATATAAAGAGGAATCTTTCTGGGTTGGATTTATTAGAACCCTATGAATTAAGGGCTACATAAATAAAGTTGCTTTTGAAGTCAGTGCTAATATTAAAATCTCATTAGGCCTATTTTAAGATATAGGCTTTCTTTTATCAAAAAGTAGTACGAATTTTGGCACCGGTTAGAATAGAACATTTTGGGTCCATTCATTTATGAATAAGACAACTACCATTCATCACAAAGTTCAAGAAAAAATAGCTTGAATGTGCCAATAATTAATATTCAGCAACTGTAATATAATTGATACTATTTCTGAATTAAACTGACTTACAATTTTGTCTATTAGCAATCATGTTGAGAAAACTTCTTAGTGACCTGTGTGCTTAATCTCATTCTCTTCTTACAAGTCAATGGTCTCTTTCCAATTTAATTCAGAGAGGCAGAAAATACATGATGTTCACCATTCTATCAGTATTACAACTAATAACTGATTTAACATGACACAAAAACAAACAAGGGCGATGAGGCAGACCCAGATAGAAATCCAAAAAAGTCACACATAAAATCCCTTTTATGTAATTAAGTTTTATATCCTTCACGTCTTCTGTTAAAATAAAAATGGTAATTTCTCTGACTACATTCACTATACTGTTACATGCTCTACGAATCTCAATCAAACCATGCAGTTATTTTCACATACTTAAATATACTTTTCATAAAGTATAATTCTAATAGCTATGCAAAGAGACTTGTTTTGTGTGTTTGAAATTTTGCTTGTACAAAGGAAATATAACTTGTCATTACAGATTACATGTACGTATAATGTTCACCTTTTTTCTACTGTTATGTTGTGCCACATATAACTATTTCCTCCCTATTTTAGGTTTCTAGAAAATCACGAAAGTTTGTCTTATTTTTTTTTTAAGCAAAACCACTGCAATATAAGAAATGCAAAGAAATGAAACTCCAAGTACAGCTTATTCAGGCACAACCATTTCATAAATCTCTTCATATCATAATGTAATTAAAGGCCTATTTCCACCCCAAGTATAAATTATATAAAAACAATATCCCAAAATATGAGTCAGGCAATTCTGAACATTATAAATAGTTCATAATTAACATACATCTATGTTTCCTTTGATTGCTGTATTTACTCTAATATACACTGAAGTATATTGGTAACATTTTAACAACCTAAGTATAAAGTATTAATTGTACTTATATTTAAGTTGAATTAAAAATTATTCCCTTAAAAATCCTCACATTCTTTTTTGTACTTAAAAGTGAACTTTTAGATGATCTTTTTAAATTGAGTGTCCTCTCTCACCTACAGGGATGTTTCATCAGGTTTCTAGTCTCCTCTTTCAAACTTAGTAATTTAATCACAATTAAACATTTATTTCACTTAATTTTAGATAACAGTGGAATGGCGTGTATCCTCAGGAAGTATTTAACTGGACAGACGACTGAATATGAGTCTAGTTAGGCAATAAAAATAAAAGGAAAGAAGGAAGGAAAGAAGTTAAGCAGGCAAGAGAAAAGAGGCCTTTAAAAAGCTCTAAAGCTGATATTAAATTGGCCCTAATGATCACAATGTATATAATTTTGTACCCATTCTTTTAATATAGATACAAATAAATCAAATTTGTAAGTTAAAAAAGCTCTAAAACTGATACGAAATTGTATGACCCTAATGATCACAGTGTGTATAATTTTACACCCACTCTTTTAATATAGATAAAAATAAATCAAAATTGTAAATTAATTGTGTTTCACAACATCAAACAAACACTACATTTAAAAAATCCAGTACACTGGAAATGTACTGATCCATAACTCATAGTGACAGAAAAGATAAACAGTCCCCTTGATAACATAAAACATTTCCCAAGGTATGCCACAATGCAAACTTGAAGACAAAAATAACTGAAAGCTCATCTTTACTTCAGTTTTGACCTCTAACACAGACTTGCTATTAAATATATTCCTCTTGCCTCCGCTGCTGCCTAAACAAACTATTTAAGTTAGGAGAGCCTGCAAAGATGTGCCTTACAGGCAAACTTTTGTTTTCTAAAAGTAAATCTCTCCCAATACTTCCAGTTGGAAAACGTCCACTTCAGCTGCTTGACAACAGGACGTCACTTTCTCCCTTGGGCTTACCTGCTACTACTTAAGTATTCTTCCAGGTAGACTTTGGACATGTTGGGAGGTAGCTCTTTAAGCACTCCTGATCTATGATGACTACATATGCACACACTTTACACACTCCCACAGGTCCTTCGTACCCTTTCCCCCTCCATCCTCCTCTGAGAGCTCACCCAGGCCACCTAGTGCACCTTGCATGGCCAAAGCCTGCCCACCAGGGAGCGAAGAGTACTTCAGGAATAATCCTCAAGATCAAGAAACTTACTGGATTTTAACATGTAATGGGGGGGGGGGGGGGGGGGAAGGTGTGTGTGGGGGGGGGGGGGAGAAGGGGGTGGTAGATGGGAGAACAGGAGCCTTACAGATAGCAGCTGTCCATTAAGTGGTTTAAATCTGTTGGTTAAAAAGCTGAATAAATAAATACACAGATGGGTCTAGGTCTTTGGGGATTCCGGATTCTGCGCAGCCTCCCAAGCGATGGCCAGGTCGACTTCTCTTGACTCATCCCTATGCAAAACGCGCACTGGCTCCACTTTCCAATCCCCAGACTTGCACCCGTCCTTCCCCTCAAGTTCTTCCTAATCAAAGCGTCACCCCACGCGCCAGGTGCCTTAAGAGACTTACCTAAGAGATTCCAGAGTCTGAGAATAGTGAGGATAACTTTTCCTCCCTGCTCTAGAGAGGCCCCAACACCCACAGCAAGTGAGGGTCCGCACGGAGGTCGGGTGTCAGGGCGCGTTGCGGCCTCCCTGGTGGGCAGAGGCGCGCGAAAAACGCGCGGGCGGCGCGCGCGGCCACCCAGTGGGTCCCGCCCGCGCCGCCGCCGCCGCCGCCGCCGCACGTGCGCCGCCGCGAGCGCGAAGGGCGTTCGGACCCGCGCTGTGCCCGCCTGCCCGCCAGGGCCACTGTGGACTTCCAGGTAACAGCCAAGTGAGAAACCCTCTCTATCTCCGAAAGGTGTCTGCGCTCCTCCCACGTCCCCTCCCCGAAGTGCCGCGAGGTGCGATTTCACCCCAAACCCACCCACAAACAGCCAGGAGACCTCTCCAAAGCGAAATAAAAGTAAAACCAGGCCAGACCCCGGGGGAAGCGGGTCGTGCTAACGCGTGGACAGGGAAAGGAGCGCGATCAGGGGCAGCAGTTATCCCCATGCATGGTTATCCCGAAGCGTCAGAAGGGCCCAAGAGTTTCTTGACTCCAGAAACAGGAGTGTCCCCTTTCCGTCTCTCTCCTTCCCGGAGAAGTACTTCTGAGATAAACGCTGAAGTGCCCAACTTAGACGCGAGAAGCGTGCACTTGCCCAACTGAGTAAATAAAGGTCAGCATTGGGATCAATAAAGTGAGCTTCTAACCGCCAGATGTTTTTACTGTTGTTTCTCCTCCCGAGGTTGGGTGGGGGAGGGTGCGGGGAAGAAGGGGAAAAGACAACAAACAATTAAAAAGAAGAGAGTAAACAAACACACATCTGGTGTTTCGACACACATTCTCCTCCAGCCGCGGTCTCTCCGGACGAAGCAACATTTTGCATATTCCAAACTAAAAATCATCCGTGAGCCAACGGCAAGTCTCCCCTCTCCAGCCCCTTTTCCCCTATCACAAAGCAAAATGAAAAAGAACAACAAGTGGTGATGTTGGGTCCGGAATGCGACCCCAACGCCGAGCCCAAATTTGACACATGTCACACTCGCCCCGGCAAGCAGGGCGCTGCCTTTCGGGCGAAACTTTGTCGCCACCACGGGAGGAGAGCGGAGCAGAGTAAAGTCGCAGCCCGGCCCGGCGTGGAGGTGGCTGGGACAGGGTGGGGTGCGGAGGTGCAGCGCGCCAGAGTGAGGGCCAAGAAACTTACCGCGACCGGGGACGCCGTGGGCAGCGTCCCAGGAGGTGGCACCCGCGGCGGCAAGGCAGAAGCCCCCAAACAACACACCCACGCGCGAGTCCGGGCAGCTGCTGCCGCGAGTGGGGGGCGCGCCCGGGGAGGGGGGGCGAGGAAACCGCAGCCGGCGGACGCGGCCGCCGCATAAATAACCGGGGCGGGCTACGGGTCGCGCGGGGCTAGAGCTGGGGCGAAGCGGCGGCCGCGGAGCTGCACGCGCCGGTGTGTCTCGCGCTTTCTCGGAGGCTCGCGCTGTCTCGCGCAGCCGCTCCCCCCACCCGGATCTGTGTGTGTGTGTGCGTGTGTGTGTGTGTCTGTGTGTCTATGTGTGTGAGTGTGCGCTGGCAGGCGCGCGCACCCGGCCGCGCGCGCGTGTTGTTGGCAATGCGAACTGTACACACACTGCGCACGGGGCTGCCTCTCTTCGGAGGGGCAGGGTGGGGGACAGGATGCTGCAGAGGATTCTGAAGTACTGCCGGGCCACTTGTTTGTTTTGTTTTACTTTGTGTTGTTACTGTCGTTGATACAAAAGAGGTTTGGAACCAGCTGGTTAGGATGCCTTTCTACCCCCGTCCACTTATCTCCCCCCGTTCCCTAACTTCTTTAAGGAGGGGGAAACGCGGAGCAGAATATTGTTCGGATTTGCAGCGGAGCGTCCTGGCTGACGTCAGGTCCACCTGCTATGTAAACAACCCGCTGGAGAACTTGTTTGTGCTGTGCCAGCTCTTCCCCCACCCCCACTCTCTCCCCACCTCCTGCTCCGCCTTCTCCCGCTCGCCCCAGACGGCGAGTCAGGGAAGGGGGTGGGGAGGGAGGCGAGAACAAAACCGTATGCTGTATTGGCAAAACCGAGTTGTGTCTGCTGCTTCTTGGCAGTCCCCAAAGTACGTCCTCTCAGCAGACGGAGCTGCTGGCAAATGAAACAGGGGATTCCACTTGAAGTGCAGAAAGCCTCGAAGGGATCCAAAGCCCTCGGTGGCAGGGAGTTAAAGTACATGGCAGTCGGAAAGGGAGACCCGAGCGTGCGTTAAAGCGCTGATTGGCCTTTCTTTTCATGGTGTGCGCCTCTGCGGCCTGGGGCGGAGAGAGGCCGAGTGTCTTTCTCTTCATTGTTGCCCTGGTTCCTGTCTCACTTGGGCCAAGGAGTTCTCGGGCTTCCTCGTGGTCGGGCAGCCTAGGTCACCGGGGCGCGGCTTGGAAGGAAGGGGCCGCCGAAGTGGGACTTAGAGAGTGGTTTCCGGGGTTTTCGGGAAGGGTCCTATCAGTGGCTGAGGGACTGAGGGAGCAAAAGTAACCGGAAAGAAAGGAAAGAAGAAACGGCCAGAGCCTGCTCCGCGAGCACTTCAAAGCCGAGGCGCCCGCGAGGGGATGCGCGGGCCCAGCCTCCAGCCCTGGGTCCCGGCTCCTATTCGCCGGGTGTGACGCGGCTGGCCGGCCCGCGCGGGACCCAGGGGGGTGACAGGGGAAAGGCCGAGGGAGGACAGGGCGGGCCCCGGAGGGGACGCGCGACCGGAATCGTGGCGAGGGGCTTCCTCCGGAGCCCCAGCCCAGAGAGGGGCCGGCGCTCCCTCCCCGCGGTCTCCCGCCGGTCCCTCCCCTGCCCGGGGGCCGCGCGACCCTTCGCCGACCGCCTTCTCCGCGCGCCGCAGCCTGAGCCCGCTGCTTTGCTCGCAAGTCAGTCGCAAAGCGTGGCGTTCCGAGAGGCGCTGAAACTTTCCTCCAAATAGCTGCGGCCAATAGGCCGTGGTGAACAGAGCCTGGCCCCCGGCTGCTTCCCGGCCCTCCTCCCTGGGGAAAGAACGGCTAACTTGAACCCCTCCGGTGGCAGAAGAGGGAGCGGTGGTGGTTGGGGAGACGGGCGAACCTCACGAACTTGTGCCTTTGAATCTTTCCTTTCCTCAAAGAGCAGCGCGCCCTTTCTCTAAAGGGCAGACGCGAGCACACACACACTTGGCACCAACCCTTTCCTTCAGAACCCGCGGCTCTCCTAGGGAGGAAGCAGCCCTGGCACCCAAGTCGGTAAACACACCGTCAGGGTTTTTTTAGTGGAACCAATTAAGTCAATAAGCCATGGGGCTGGCCCTGGGAAGACGGCCCCTGCCAGGAGGAAGAGGAACGAGGTAGAGTTGGGCTTTGAATTGTGGTTCTTTCCTTGAGCTTTTCAACTCCGGCAGTCCTCAAGTGCTGTGCCTACAGACTGTGTTCTCACTCTTTTTTTAAATCGTCTTTTTCTGAAATGCAAGCTGAACAGTGGACAAATAATCCGAATCTTTTAAAAGTGGGAGCAGAGAGAGGAGGAGCAGTCATTATCATTAGAAAACGCCAGCCCCAAATTGCCCTACCTCGCCCTTTTGAAAGGTGGGGATAATTTTATGTTAAGTAATCTGCGTTTATGCTTCACTAGGAAACCTCAATAAAAACGGATTCTGAATTTACTTGAAACTATTTTGGAAGAGAGAAGAGTAAACGACGTGGAAATCCTTGGAAAGCTGGGGATGTATCTTTCCAGGGGGGTTGTAAATGAAGGGAACAGAACAATCAAAACGTGGACAGCTTCTCACTTCTCTTTCTTCTTCCTTCCCCGCGTACATCGACCCCACTGACTTCCCTTTCTCTCCAGGTGTACCGAGTAAGTGAGCGGGAAAAGTTTATTGTAAAAGAGCTTGGGCCACTTGGAAGATCAAGTTCCCAACGAGGAGAAGGAGGGTTCGGGTCTCTACACTTGGACAGGAACGAGTTTAGTTAGCCTTTCACTTTTCTGTACACAAAGAAACGTTTTGGTGAAATTCGCAGCCTCTAACTTTCCTTTCTGGCGAGTACAGATGACCAAGAGGTGCGAAAGGACATCTCAGTCGGAGGTGCATATATTTATAGAGTGGGCGCATACCTTTCCGGGGCCTCATTCTCAGTGAGACTGAGCCTGCAGCTCCCCAGTGCCGCCGCTCAACTTCGCCCCCACTATCTCCTCCTCGCCTGCTGCCATGCCCCGGGCCACCAACCCATCCCGCGGGGAAGCTGTTCAGGGAGTTGGGAAAACAGGTCCTGACAGGAGCCACTGCCCTCGGTGGACCCCTCGGCTGCAGCCAATGGGCTGGGCCCGGGTTCGAGAGGTGAAAGTTCAGGCCCGGGGCTCGCAGCTCGCTTCGCCTCTCCGGCCGCCTCCTTTTCAGCCCCCGCCTCTGGCTACACTGCAGACACGGCCCGGCTACCAGGGGCCGCCACGGTGGCACGTAGTTTGTTGATGGGTGGTCATAAAATATATTTATTTGCAATTCCTTGAACTCGTCCACCACTCCCGCCCCAGCATGGCCCCGAACACTGCAGGCTTTGTTCGCCTCGGCTGCTGCTGGAACTGGCCGGGGTTTAGCGCTCTGTGCTAGCAGACTCCAAAAAAAGTTGAAGTATAATAATAGGAAAACCGGGTTTCCGCAGCCGAGGAAAACGCTGAAAGGGCAAACAGCGATCGAATAGTTTTCTTTTGCACAAGTCACTGGTCAGCCCACTGGATCAAGGCAGCCTTTAAACGAAACGCTGCATATTGGAAAGAGAAGGAAAGCCAAATTCTGTCCCTGTAGTCGCCGCGCAGGGTCATAGCCACTGTTCAGGTCTCCTCTGCAGCACGTGGATCTGCAAAAGTCATTTAAAGAGGTTCCAGAAGAAAGTTCAGTGGGACAACTGGGTGAATGAAGAGTTTCACCAAGTGGACATCAAAGCTTCCTCACGAAAGTTTATTTGATTTCAGGTTTATTTTACGACGAAACCACAAATCAACAAAATCTGAGACACTGCTCTAGTACGGTGCTAGTACAAGATAAATTCGTTTGAAATGGTCTCTGTCAGCGCATCTTGCGCGAAATAAAACACCACAAATGACAGTATAGCCAAGATGAAGGAAAGCGACGTACGCGAATGACAAATTAGAAATGTTAGTTTACTGCTTCTCCCAGTGAACCTCTTTGATTTTCAGTTATTTTTTAATAAAAATATAATTTTTCACACGCTTGAGTCTGTTTTTTCCCCAAAACTTTCAAACAACAACTACATTTTTCTCTTTCAGAGCCGTTTTATCTGTGTAATTGTTACTTGTACTTAAATTTCAACTGACTTGGAGAAATCGCTGGGAGAGAGGAAAGAGCATGTTTTTAAATTATTATTTTTTCCTGTTATAAATAGCATCTTCAAAATTGTTACTCACTTCAAATAGCTTGTAACTAAAGTTTTAAATTCAAGGTAAAATATTTTTCCTTTCACACAGAAAAAAGTCACATATCAGTTTCCTATGTTTTCACATCCACTACAGTTTTCTGAAGATGAGCAAATAAGCAGATTCTTTTTAGACGACTTTTCCCCATTCTCCTCCCTGACATATTTAGGGAAAAGAGAAAATTCTAATTTCACCGAAGTCAAATCAAGGGTAATCTACGTTACATCAGACTGAATGGAGATACTGTGAAATTGGTGGAGTTACACCACCATCTGTCGTTAAGCTTAGGGACTACAAAATTTGGGACCTATAATAAATCTTAATAAGCTTTCCCAACTTTTTAAAAAAAGTTACAGGCTATATTTTTCATTTGTGTTTTTATAGCCTATACCCTGAATTTACCTGGACTCTGAAGCAATAAATATTTGTTCATAAACCTACACTTCTACCTGGGTTCTCTCATCTTCAGAAAAATTAAAATACTCCACATCTGCCAGCCTGCACATAAAGCCCATTGGAATCAGCTATGGGCCTGCAGATTTGCGCTGCCCTGCCCCTAGCTTCTAGTAGGCTGCTGGCAGAAACCATGGAGACTCAACAACAGGGGTTACCCATATCCTCCAGTGAATAATACGCTTAATTCTCTCTCGAATGTAACCTAGTTCATTGTTAGTACTGTATATCTAATCTTGGAAAAAGGTAACCACAGCATATCACTGCTAAGAAGTTGGCTCTGAGTGTCCTAAAAATTTGATTGAAAGGCAGTTAATACTAGTTTCCAGTTTTAGTTGATCTTGGTGGAGAGGCAAAGATCAATTGCTCTGGAATGGAATCTTGCAGGCTAAGTAGGTTCTATACCCAGGAAAGCTTTATCCAAATGCATACAGAAAGGGGATAACTACTGTATAAAGAATTCCAATACTGAATCAAAAGCCTCCATCAAGCAGTGAAGACTCCATTTTTTTGTTTGTTAGCTTTTCACAACCCTCCAATCCTCCAATGACCTAGTATTGATATTATATCTATATTTCTAAGGATCTTAAAATATTTCACTAGAATGTTGTACCCCTTTCTGTGTTAAGGACTTGATTACCGAATTTCTATTTTCCAGAAAATAAAAATCAATGAAAATAAAGTCTAATGACTTGCATATGTTAGTAACACATCAACTAAAAATA